TCTCTTTTTTTAAATTTTTTTTTTTATTAAATAACAGAAAAAGAAAAAAAAATTAAAAACATTTGAACATGGTAAATCAGATTTGACAAACATCTCAGTTCATATTCACAATTAATTACTAATAAAAACTCTATACAATAATGTCACTCTAATCTCAATCTTAACTTATCTCATTACAATGACTTCCATATTTTTTCCCCCACCATCTATAAAATTTGTTCCAAATTTGGTAAAAATCCGTTTCATCCTGATTTTTAAGTCTTTTAGTTAACCTATCTAATTCTGCGCAGTGCATAATTTTATGAATTAAGATTTCTTCACTAGGTATAGCCGTAGCTTTCCAGTTTTCAGCGAATACAATTCTTGCCGCTGTAACCACATGAATGAATAAACATGTATCCTCTTTACTAATGTTTTTTTCAAGAATTCTTAACAACAATGTCTCAGGCTTATACTGAATGTTTTGCATACTCATTTCTGTTACCCATTCCCAAACCATACGCCAATATCTCTGTGCTTCCTTACATGACCACCAAACGTGAAAAAAGTGCCCCTTTCTTTTTTGCATTTCCAACACAAAGATGAATATCCCCTGTACATTTTGGCTAATCTTGCTGGAGGGAGATGCCATCTGTAAATCATCTTATACAAATTTTCTTTATATGATGACGCCAATGTAATTTTATTATTTCGCATCCATACCTGCTGCCATTGATCCAAATTAATGTTGTGTCCTAGATCTATCGCCCATGTCACCATTGTTTCTTTAACCTGTTCTTCAAATAGCCTGTACTCCAATAGGTGTTTGTAAATATTCTTTATTTGTTTTTTTTCCGGACCAAGCAGAATTTTATCTAGCCCTGTATCTTGTCTATAAATACCCCATTCGTGTTTGTCTTTCAAATATCTTGCTTGGATCTGGAGGTAAGACCACCACTCTATCTCTATTCCTTGTTGTCTTAACTCTTGTTTAGATTTTAAAAGATCCTCTTCCGTCAAAATGTCTTTATACCTGATAACCTTATCTTCCCTAAGCAAATTGGGGTATGTAACTGCCTCCAATGGCAATAACCAAGTCGGAATCTTTGTATAATATTGAGATTTGACAGTATTCCAACTTTTACTTAAACCTTGCCGGACCTTGTGTTTTAAAAAATATTGGTAGTTTCTACTTTGCCCCTTTCACATATGAGCATGCCATCCCTGCTGAAGATCATAACCCTCTAACTGAATATATCTTTGATTCTCTAAGGTTATCCAATCACTAATCTAAGACAGGGCCGTGGCTAAGTAATATAATTCCCAATCAGGGAAGCCTAAACCACCCCTTTCCTTGACAATTTGAGATTCTTCTCTTCGTCTACTCAATCTTTGGGGGCTTGTGGCTGGCTGCGGTCTCACCTGTTCACGTTGAAACGCGCTTTGGTTATCCACGTAGGCCTGTACACGACTGTGGGGTTTTTCCCTTCCAACCTGTTTGTAGATGTAGCTTCTTCTATCTCTCTTTGGAGAACCGCTTGTAATATGGCTGCCTCCTTTGCTTCCTGTTGGCGTCAGGACATCTCGAAGTTGGCACGAGCTTTGACCATGTCTTCCCTTTGCTGATGCCATGCCTCTTCCACATGATGAGCTGATGCAGCTTGCACTTTGGCTACATCTTCCCTTTGTCGTTGTTCAGCCTCTACTACATGTAGAGCTGCTGCAGTCTCCATTTTTGCCATTTCCTCCTTCTGCTGTTTTTTTACTGCTGATGCTTGTGCAGCAGCTTCAGCCCTTGCAGTATTGACTCGTGCTTGTGCGAGTTAGGCAGCAATGCTCTCTGCCCTTGAGGCCTGAGATGCTTGGCTGTGACGAGAAGAAGCTTTCAAATGGCAGGAGGTGCCTGCGACATGCGATTGTTGGGACACGTTGGAATGTGCCTTGGATACATGGCGAAAAGATGAGGCCTTTTTAGACACGTGAGATGGAGCCACATGCGACTGTTGGGATGGTGCATGTGAATGGCAGGAAACTTCAGACTCGGCCCTTTTGACTGGTCCATCTCTTGGGTGAGGTTCGGGCTCTGGGAGACGTTGTGGGCTCTCTAGAAGTTTCTTACGCTCCTTGTTGAGTAGCTTGAGGCTATGCATCTTCCCATCGAAAGTTGGATCTCCTAATTGTGCCCGAATGTCTTTGACTTGCCTTTTGGAGTCCATCCATTGTGCAAGAGCGTCCTCCTTATCTCCTTCCACTGCGTGCGCATGTTCGGGGGAGAGTTCCTCCTTAGGCTCCTGGTAGAGTTTGTGTAATCTCTCCCAGCACCTTTCATGGCACTTGTAGTTCTACTCCCATCTTTCTATCAGATGTGAGTGCATGGCTGCTGTAAGCTTTCTTTGTTGCCTCAGGTCGTAGGGCACCTGAGACGTCTTTGGCCTCGCTGAGGCTTGAGCTTCAGCCTCTGAGTGTGGGTCAAGGTTGGCTGTTTGCAGCATTTCACCTTGACCGGCTGGTTGGGGTGCCTCATCTAGTCTGGTAAGTAGAGCCCCTTCCTCTAAATCAGTGGGACACTCTGCCATGGCTAGGAGAGGTTCAGTACACTTCCTAGCTATTTTGAAGCAAATTAGATGAACTTCTCTTTTTGACCACTAAGGGTCGCTGCTTGCAGATCACCTGCTGGGGTGCTGTCTGTGGGTGGAGATTCCACTGGGTGTGTTCTCCTGCGTTTGTGGGTACTTCAGCGCAATTCACCCCTTCACCACTAGGGCTCTCTTCCTGCGGGTCAGCTACTGGGGTGCTCTTCTTTCAAGGTTCACCCTTTGTCTACTAGAGGGCTTTCTCTGGGCGTGATTAAAGGCTTGCATGTAGTTCCTCCTTTAACCACTGGGGGGCATCTGAAGAAAGGCCAGCCAAAATTCCTCTCACTACCATGTTACTGCTATTGGCCACTGAGAGAATGCAGAGCAGTGGTCGCTCCTACAAACTCTCACCTGGTTGTCACGTTGCAGGCTGGAACCACTTAGTCATTAGATAATAAGCAAGGACAATTGGCTCTGCTTGTTCTTCTTCTTAATTTCCCTCAAACTGGAACAACTTGGTCATCAGCTTGAGTGAGTGAATACTTTGCTGAAGTTCACTCTGTGCCCTTTAGGGGATGTTGGTAGCTTGGGATAAATTTAAGTAACTTGCTCTTTAACTGTCAGATTCACTCTGTGTAGTTAGTGATGCGTGCAGTGAAGAAACTTCTTTCCCCTCTAGGGGGTATTGTTAGCTTGGCTTGGTATAAGCCTGCTAAGTGCTAAATTAATTATCAAGTTGTTGTAATCTAACATAATGAAATTTAGCAGGGTGTCATGTGCAGATTGGCCACCAGGGGGTGCCACTGTGATGCTATTGGGACCTCTGAACACCATCTCCTATTGGCATTGTTGAAATTCCAAAGGGAGGGGGGAGTTTAGCTTCTTTCACCAGTGCTGTGGCTGAGTGAAGAGGTTAACTGCCTTTTTATTGCTCTCCTTGATGACGAGGAATTTGACCTTTTATTGCCCTCGAAGGAGCCCCTTGCTGCTTTTTTTGGCTAGCAGACACATGAAGAAGAAACAGAGGCGTTGTAGCTTTGTCTCTCTTTAAGCATAAAGAAGCAACATATTTCTAAACACTTAAATTCCAAATCCTTGATTTGCATTAGGCGGGCTGAGAGAGGGGCACTTCTCCTTAAAGGCAATGAAGAATCATTTGCCTGCCTTTGGCTGCACTCTAGAAGAGTTCTTTGTCTTAGGTTGCTCAAGCCCTCGGCAAAGGAAGAAAAAAAAAGGGGGGGGGAAGCTTCTTTGGTGTTAGAAATACAAACTTTACATGCCAGTAAATCCTACAATAAGAATGTAGATTTCTCTCTTCTACTTAGTGAGATAGACATCACAATATCTTGGCTTAAACATTGGCTTGTAAACAGATCCAAAGGTAATTTTAGCAGAAGCATCCAAACAAAACACAAAGCACTTTATAACTTTTATTTTCTTTAGTTCAGAGTCAAATGCGAAGGTACTTTGAATTTACTTTGCAGGCATTTAAAGGAAATTAGCCACATCAATTTACTTTGCCTTTATAAAGCTGGTATGAACTCTGAGCATTCTTTCACATGCAAGAAAATATTTACTTTACTTCCTTAAGGGCTGATGTAGAGAAAGACCAATAATTTTACTTTCTTCCTTCAAACTGTTGTAGGAGATCAGAGGAAATTAATCATATCAATGTACTGTTCTGACCCAGACAGAACAATTTGCTTAATTGTCCAGTCCAGGGCAGACAGAGAACTCGATAGAAATGATTGCATAACAGATAAATATGTTTATTCAGAGAAAATACTTGCTTTTACGTTGTAGCTTCTGGATAACACATCTCTGTTCATTTCCATAGGTAAATTGATAATGAATTTTCCCTCCTCTTCTACATAAGCATCACATGTTAGCATAGGACCTCCAAGCTGTGTGGCTGGCAGGCATGAGGCTGGATGAACAAAGGCATTCCAAACTGGGCATGTAACCAGTATATCCTGAGAGGAACTCAAAAACTCCTCCCACTGACCCATTAACATGAGATGACTGTCTAACTAAACTGCATTTCCCATAATCCATTTCTTAAGGAAACAACACTAAACTCAATAAATGCCAGATATTTTAACATACTGATACATGCTCTCTAGTTAGGGTTACATAGAGCTATATGATTCAGAACATGGCCATTAATTACCAGAGGAGGAAGTTGATTAACAATCTATGCAAGATTGTATTGGCTTCGTTTGCAACATAGATTTCTACTTTCAGTTACTTGTGAGTCTTGTTAGAGATGGTATAGGTATAAATCTAATTTTGAGTTGAAATTCTTTCTACAGCTATGAAAATTCTTTCCACAGAATGATATATGTTTATAGAAATATAGTACTCAATTTAATGCTTTTTTACTTAATTTTCATATTAAAAGCCTCAACACTTGAATTATTTAAAGTATGTTTTCTCTTTTTATAGAGAACAGAGTAAAAGAACTGGAAAAACAAGGAGCACTATTGGTTGATAATCTGGAGGCAAATCAACAAGAACTTGAAAGTGCTAGATTTCTTGAAGGTACTTTAGCAGAAGAAAATAAGTATAATATATACAAAACATAAATTGTGATAGGTTGTTATAGGCAAAGCTTTAATAGGAAACTGATGTGATCTAGTAGGCCAGCTCTTTTTGCAAACAAAGCAATGAGGGAAAGAAATGGTTCACTGAGAAACTACCAGAGGACTGGAAAAGAGCTAATGTGGTTCCCATCTTCAAAAAGAAAGAAAGGAAGGAAGGAAGGAAGGAAGAAAGAAAGAAAGAAAAAAAGAAAGAAAGAAAGAGATCCCAGAAATGACAGTCAGCCTAATAATAAAATCTGGGTAGATCTAAGAAAAGATAAGTAAGCAACAGATCTGTGAACAACTTGAAGCAATCATTAGAAGCCAATATGGGTTTATCAAAAACAATCATGCCAGCCAAATCTTACTGCATTCTTTGACAAAGTGACTAAATAAGTGGACCAGTGAAATGCTGTGGACATAACATACTTGGACTTCAATAAGGCATTTGACAGAGTTAACCATAACAAACTTCTTGATAAGATAGAAAAATGTGCGTCAGACAGCAGCATCATTAGAAGTATTCATAACTGGCTGACTAATTACACTCAATGTGTAGTCTTTAATGGAGCTACATCTACATGGAGGGAAGTATGCAGGGGGGGGTACCTCAAGGCTCAGTTTTAGGCCCAGTATTATTCAATATCTTCATCAGTGATTTAGATGTGGGGATAGAAGGGGAGCTCGTCATATTTGCAGATGATTACAAGCTGGGGGGAATAGCGAACACTTCAGAAGATAGGCACAAGATCAAGAAGGATCTTTATAGGTTTAAACACAGGGCCCTATCCAACAAAATGCAATTCAGTGGTGAAAACAGTAAGATATTACACTTAGCAAGAAAAACCAAGTATACATGCAATATAATAGGTAGAACCTTACTCAGTAGCAGTAGCTGTGTGAAAGATCTTGAAATTCTAGTGAACAACCACTTAAATATGAGCCAACATTTGCTGTAGCTGTCAAAAAAGCCAGTCCTAGGGTGCATTAACAGGAATAGTATCAAGATCACATGAAGCATTAGTGCTGCTATAAGCTGACTTAGTAAGACCACACTTGGAATACTTCATCCAGTTCTGGTCACCATGATACAGAAAAAGTTGTTGAGCCTCTAGAAATTAGAATTAGAATTCTTTATTGACCAAATGTGATCGGACACACAAGAAATATGCACACAGTGCATAAGCTCTCAGTATACATATATGCATCAAGTGATAAATCATGATCATAATCATCATAAAATACATTCATCATAAATCATAAGATACAACACTCAGTGATAGTCATAGGATACTAACTAAGCAATCAATATAAATCATACTAGGATGCTAAATAAAAGAATATAAATTGTAAAATACAAGTATCAAAATTATAGTCATAACAAGATAAAGAAATAGGTAATAGGAAAGATGAGAAGGATAATAGTAATACAGCCCTTCTTTAAGCAGTAAATATTCACATTTTGGAGCTGGAATTACAAACTGATCCACAAAATAAAAATTTGAAGATACAAATGGACTTAAAAAAACGTAAATTAAATCTACTTGAGACTGATACTATGGCACAACAGATTAAATGAGCCAAACAGAACTTTTCTGAAAATGCTAATAAACCGGGTAGATGGCTTGCATATAGATTGAAAAAAGAAAGAGAAAAAAGATCAATAACTAAATTACAGGATGAAAAGGGTGAAATGCACTGTCATAATGATGTTATTAAAAAATCGCTAAGGCCTTTTATGAGCTACTGAGGATTTCTGAAGAGGCAATTCAGGGCTACTTAAAAAAAGCAAATCTTCCAAAAATATCAGAAAACATGCGACAGAGGTTAAATGAGAAGATACCAATGATGGAGATCATAAGAGGCAATTAAAAGACAAAAGAAAGATAAGACACCCGGACCAGACGGACTACCTGCAGAATTTTATGTAGCTTTACAAGATACTGTGATCCCTTTTCTGACTTATATAAGGACTTATATGATGAAACTTTTATACAGACAAAAGTTCCGAACTCATGGACTGAAGCTAATATTACCTTGATACCTAAAGAAGATACAGATCCTACACAAATTAAAAACTATAGGCCAATATCATTACTAAATGTGGATTATAAAATCTTTGCTGCAATTTTGGCAGAAAGAATGGAAAGTTTTTTAATAGAATTTATTCACCCAGACCAAAATGGCTTTCTTCCTAAAAGACAGATAAAGAACAACTTAAGGATTATTTTAAATATTTTGGAGTATTATGAAAATCATCCAGGGAACCAGATGGCGCTTATATTTCTTGACGCACAAAAAGCATTTGATAATTTAAATTGGCAATTTATGTTTCAACAACTACAGGAAATGGACTTTGGTGAAAACTTTATTAAAGCAATCCAAGCGATCTACAAGAAACAATCAGCAAGGATACTTATAAATAGAGATTATACAGAGAGCTTTGATATTAAAAAAGGCACGAGACAGGGATGTCCACTCTCCCCCCTGCTATTTATTTTTACTCTGGAGGTATTGACTTGAAACATCAGGCAAGACATAGAAATTAAAGGTCTTGAGATTAAAGACCAGAAATATAAATTACAGGCTTTCGCGGACGATCTGGTCTTTATCTTAGAGGACCTTTGGAAACAGCCCTAAACTTTTGCAGAAAATTGAGAAATTTGGAGAAGTGGCTGGACTGAAAATAAATAGGGAAAAAACTAAAGTGTTAACAAATAATTTAACTGATAAACAGAAAACTCAACTCGCCAAAAAGACAAATCTTCAAATAGTTAAAAAAGTTAAATATTTAGGTATCTATCTTACGGTGAAATATACATTACTAAAAGAAGATAATTATGAGAGACTAATAAAACAAATAAAAATCAATTTGGAAAAATGGGGAAATCTCCAACTATCATTGCTAGGAAGAATAGCGACTGTTAAAACGAACATTTTGCCAAAGCTAATTTTTTTTATTTCAAACAGTTCCTGTAAAGCTGGGTAAGAAATTTTTTGAAGATTTAAATGCAATGATATTAAGATTTATATGGCAAAGAAAGAAAGAAAGCAAGAATTAAATGTAAACTTCTACAAGACTCGAAAGATAGAGGGGGTTTTGGACTTCCGGATTGGAGACTTTATTATCAAGCAGCTATTTTGCTTTGGCTTAAAGAATGGATTACTCTGAGAAATAAGCGAATTCTCTATTTAGAGAGATATGACCTTCAACTAGGGTGGCATGCCTTTTTATGGTACGAGAAAGCTAAAATATATAAGTACTTTCAAAACCATTCTATAAGAAATGTTTTACTTTCTGAATGGGAGAAAGTTAGACACAAAATGTATATGAAAATTCCTGAGTGGCTTTCAACGATGGAAGCATTTGCTTACCCGAATTTGATTAATTATGATAAACTTGTTAGTTATAAAGATATTTTGGACAAGAACGGAAAACTCAAAGACAGGCAAGCTCTTCAACAACAAGGTATTGACTTAACGTGGTGGTCCTATTTGCAAATTCAAACAAGATATGAAAAAGACATAAAAAATGGAATTTTACGAAGAGCTGACCCCACTTGATAAAATACTTTTAAAAACAGATGAACATTTGATTAAGAAGCTTTATAAATATGTATTAAATTGGAAGATGGAAGAAGAACAAGTAAAAGAGACAATGATAGTATGGGCAAAGAACTTTGGATATTCTATAGAATTAGAAGACTGGCAAAAAGTGTGGGATAAAAATATTAAACTTACTAAAGCAGTAACATACAAAGAAAACTTATATAAAATGTTTTATAGATGGCATATGACACCAGTTTGCTTAGCGAAAATGTTTAAAAACTTATCAGATACATGTTGGAAATGCAAGCAAAAACTGGATACTTACTATCATGCCTGGTGCACATGTTCTATTGCAAAAAAATATTGGTCTAAGATTCATAGATGGTTAGAAAAGATGATGAAAATCCAGATAGAATTTAAACCGGAACTGTTCCTGTTAGGTATATTAAGACCTAACTATGGCAAAGAAAATGATTATACTAAGAATAGTATTTGCCCAGTTTTGGAAAAATGAAAACCTACCATCAGATCAGATTATAATTTTGAAAATTCTAGATTGTGCAGAAATGGACAGATTAATGTTAGAGATGAAGGAGAAAGAAGATTCAATCTTTTGTAAAACCTGGGGAAAATTTTATCAGTGGGTTGAAACACATTAGAATAAGAAGAGATTTTAGAGTTTTACTACATTAAGTATTAAGGTTGATGATTGGAAATAGTTGTTATGCTATTAACTATGTTAATTATTTAAAAGAATATTAGTCTTTTACCAAATGGCAGTTGTAACTATATTGATTTATTCTTATAAATGTCTAGTATTATATTAACAATAATACTTAATATGAAGACCCAGACAACAGCTTGTTCGTTGAATTACGTATTTACTGTAGTTATTCACACCTTGTCTCTTTTATCCCAATTTTCTTGTACCCGCACCGACCCTACCTTTTTCCTACCCATATAAAATCTAATAAAATATATTTTTTTAAAAAGTAGTAATACAGCCCTACTAAGTAGTTTAGCTGCTGTGGGAATTAGTTGCTTGGCAGAGTGATGGCATGGGGGGAAAATTGTTCTTATGTCTAGTTGTTTTGGCATGCAATGCTCTATAATGTCTTGAGGGAAGAAGTTTAAATAGTTTATGTCCAGCATGTGAGAGCTCTCTTTCTGGCTTGTGCAGTATACAAGTCCTCAATGTCCTTGTGCAGTATACAGGTCCTCAAGGCTGATAGCAGTTGTTTTTTCTGCAGTTCTAACTATCCATTGAAGTCTGTGTCTGTCTTGTTTGGTTGCAATGCCAAACCAGATAGTTATAGAAATGCAAATGGCAGACTCAATAATTCCTTTGTAGAACTGTATCAGCAGCTCTCTGGCAGTCTGAGCTTTTTGAGTTGATGCAGGAAGAACATTCTTTGTTGTACTTTTTTGATGACGTTTGATGTTAGGTGTCCATTTTAAGTTGAGATATTATAGAACCTAGAAACAGTCTCTACTGTTCATATTGCGTTGTCTAGTATAGTTAGAGGTGGTGGAATAGGAGGGCTTCTCCTAAAATAAAAGAGTGCAGAGAAGTGCAAACCCCCCCCCCCCGATTATTAGGGGACTGGAGGCTAAAACATAAAGAAGCATATGGGCATATCTAGTCTAATGACGAGAATGACTAGGGATGATATAATAGCAGTGTTGCAATATTTAATCAGCTGTCACAAAGAAGAGAGAGCCAATCTCCATGCATCTGAAGGCAGGATAAAAAATGATGGATGGAAACTAATCAAAGCGAGATCCAACTTAGAACTAAGGAGAAACTTCCTGACAGTGAGAACAATTAATCAATGGTACTGCTTGCCTTCGGACGTTGTGGGTGGTCTATCACTGGAGATTGTTAAGAAGAGATGGGACAGCCATTTTTCTGGAATGGTACAGATAGTTTTCAATTTACAACTACAATTGAGGTTAAAGAGACAATTGTTAAGTGAGTTTTGCTTCTTTGCTACAGTTGTTAAGTGAATCACTATAGTTGTTAAATTAGTAAATGTTAAATGAATCTGGCCTCCCCATTGATTTTGTCAAAGGTCGCAAAAGGTGAATACATGATCCTAAGACACTGTAACCATCATAAATGAACCAGTTGCTAAGCATCTGAATTTTAATCACATGACCATGGGGATGCTGCAACAATTGTAAGTGTGAAAAACAGTCATAAATTATTTTTTTTCAATCCCATTGTAATTTTGAATGGTCACTAAATGGTTGCACATCAAGGACTACTCTCATAGGATTTCCTGTTTGAGTAGGAGATTGGATTAGAAGACCTTCAAGGTCCCTTCTAATTCTGTTATTCTGTTGTAGAGAAGGCACACTGGTGACACCACATTTCTTGATCACATTTCTTGATCAAGGGGACCTGGAGTGTGCCCATCCTGCCAGACCTAGTGGGGCAGGAAAAAACCATTTACTTGACCCCATTCTATATAAGGATTTAAAGGTGACAATCAGTATCTTGGATTGCATCTGGAAGCTTACTGGAAGGAGCAGTAGTATTGCATTGGTATATTCTAGTGTGCCCACTACTGCATGTGCTAATGCATTCTGAATCAGTTTAAGATTCAAGGGAATCCAATGTAGAGCACATTGCAATAGTCCAATCAATAAATGACTAAGACATGATTAACTATGATCGTAATTGATCTAGAAAAGACGACAACTGGCACACAACATCTATTCGTGCAATAGTATTTTTGTCACATCTGCCACCTGCTTTTTTGAGCAGGAGCTGTGAATTCACACCAACTCAGATTGGGGGAGCATAACACCAGCAGAAGTAAAATGGCAAATCACTAGATATTGGGGCCTAAATGGGAATGTAACCCCAAAACAACTCAGTCCTGTCAATATTGGACAAAGTGGCTTCCTTCCCATCCAAACCCATACATTTATTTTAGAAATACCCAGATTGATTTGTGATCACTATGCTGGATAGAAGGGGGATTTAAGTTTTATTTTTTCTATTTGCACCCATTTGCCTGACTTGGGCATAAATACAAGTACTTGACAGAGTCTCTTTGTCTTTCTTCAGTAATAATGTTACTTTTAAAACAGAAGATTAGTAGCATAGAATTAAACATTAACATATGTACATTTCCCTCCTCAGTCTTTTAAAGCAGAGCTTTTCAACCTTTTCACAGATTGTACCACTTTTAGAATATGGCAATATTTGAGTATCACCAGTCGACTAGCAAGGTGTCAAAAACTTGATGACCCAAAATAAAAAGGAAAAAAGTGATAAACTACAGGTAGTCCTTGACTTACAACAGTTTGCTTAGTGACTGTTTGAAGTTACAACAGCACTGAAAAAAGTGACTTATGACCATTTTTCACACTTATGACTGTTGCAGTATCCGCAGAGTCATGTGATTTACATTTTTACATGCTTGACAACTGGTTCATATTTATGATAGTTACATTGTCCCAGGATCTCCTTTTGCAATCTTCTGACAACCAAAGTCAGTGGGGAAGCCAGATTCACTTAACAACCGTATTGTTAATTTAACAACTGCAGTGATTCACTTAACAAATGTGACAAGAAAAGTCATAAAATGGGGCAAAACTCATTTAACAAATTTCTCACCCCTCCTCCTTTTACATCTTCTTCTCTCCCCCCTCTTTCTTTTATATCCTCTCTTCTCTTCCCTTTTATATCTTCTCTCCCCCTTCTTTTATGTTCTTTCTCTCCCATCCTTCTTTTATATCATCTTCTCTCTTTCCTTTTCAGTGCACCTTCAGCTTACTGCTCTCAAGGCTGTGCTTCTCCGTCTCTCTTTTGCTGTCCCCTTCTCTTTCTCCCTGTTGTCTTTTTTCTCTACCTCTCCTGCCAAAACCTGCTCCTTTTATAGCCTTTCCTCTCTCTCCCCCTCCTCCTTTTCTCTTCCGGGTGCACTGGAAGTACCGATCGGCTGTAGCTGTGTGCACTGATCCTGGGCTCTCAGCAGGACCCAGGCAACATCTCACGCAGCTGCAGTTGAATCTCCGCCTGAAGACTGCGTGGGGCTGCCTGCCACCCCCAAGGCCGCCGCCAATCAGTTGGAGATGCGTGCACTGATCCTGGGCTCTCAGCAGAACCCAGGCAACATTTCACGCAGCTCCAATTAATTTTCCCACAAGCCTGTGCGGCACTGCTGCAGCTTCACTTCATCCACTTTTACACTTTTTTTACAGTGCTTTTCAACGTTGTGCATGTACCACCTGCCATGTGCTGACGTACCACCAGTGGTATGTGTACCACTGGTTAAAAAGCCTTGTTTTAAAGTATTTCTTATTTTGTAGAGAAGAAGCTTGATAAACTGGCAAAAGAAAACCAATCTTTGCTTGCAATTTTGAAATCAAATGTAAAGGGACTAGAAGAAGCTGAGGCTCTTGCAGCTACCCAACCAAGCATTATTGCTGGTAAGTATAGTCTCTACATAAAAATAATTATAAGACCAGTAGAAATGAAAACAAAGATATGAAGTGCAAATGAAAGATGAAGCAATGTCAGTATGACTCTCTTTATTCTCAGTGTTTTTCATTAATTCCATAGCAAGCATTCAAATAGTCAGAAGTACTAAGGCTGTGGAATTTTGCCCCTTTGTGAGACAGATCATATTCTTTCTAGCATGCTGCAATAAATGAAGTAAAATTTATATTTGTAATTTAGATATATGTTTGTATATTCTTTTTACTGAAATATGTGAATGTGTCATATAATAAACAAATAAAGGAGAGATTGCCTACAGAAGTCAGTTAGTTTTTTCTCTGGCAGAGAGATTGGAGGGAAAGTGATTTCAAGAGAGTAGTGGAAGCTTTTTTGTGTAACATATCTATAGTTCCTACCCTTGACTGCAAGTGCAGCGTGATCATATTGCTTTTTATATGTACAAAACAAGAAGCTGTCACGTAAGCATTCTAAAGGGTGGGTGAATGGTTAAAATGCAAAGAAAAGCTGAATATGGGACATTGAGATAGCCTTGTCTCTTTCCAGTCAGAAAGCACAGTTGTAATCATGTGCTTTCACACATAGCAACTACTTTACTTAGTGGCAGAGTTGCCAGTGCCAAATAGGATTGTTAGGTAAGGACTACCTGTATCTTTATTACATAGTATTCAGGTAATTTATTTTTTAAAATAAATGATTAGATACATAAAAATGCTATTTAGTTCAAAATTAATATTTTCCAACACAATCAATGCAAAATGTAGGAGAAAGTATCTGTTTTCACAGATTTAAAAATAAAAGAATTAACTGAATTAAGAAATGAAGTGGCTCAGCATTTAGAGCAAAATCTGCAGAATATCCAAAGGGCATGGTCTCACGCTCCAGGACTTACAGTTGAAAGCAGACTTCAAGGTAAGTATATCAGATGTACACAAAGAACTATTGCTATTAGAGCTCTTGCTGAGAACAAATGAAAAATTCACAAATATAACTTTAAAACTGTATAATCCATAAACTCATATATTCAGGGAAATAAATGTATGCAACTAATTTACCATTTTTTCCAAACTCCAATCTTTGGAATTTGGAAATTGAAATTTTCATATTACTCAACTGTACAACAAACATTTATGCCATATTTGGAATGATGATACTTTGGAACAGCAACTTCTGTACATTTAACTAAATCAATTCCCTTCTTCTCTTGAAAATATTTCTTCTGCGTCTTAAATGTGGTACTTGGACAGATGCTAAGATTATTATAATCAGTTATTGCTTTTATTTTGCACATACTTATTCTACATCAATTGTTACAGCCTGCTCTTAATGTATTTCAATGCCACCCCATCTTTTTTTGCTATTTCTCTTGTTAAACCAAAAGTAACTATTAGTGTTAAGGGAATACTAATCTTCAACAGCTAATATAAAATTAAATCAACTAGATTTTAAAACTTTGCCTACTTTGGTTGCTCTGAAAATGTCCAGTTTTATTTCTTGAAATTGTATTTTACTATCTTGAAACAGTTATAATGAGATTTTATTAAATTTTATTAAATTTTAAACCATTTTTAAATTTCTAAACAGTCTGTAAACTACAAGTAAGACTTACAGTTTAAAAAGGGATTCATTGCAACAAAATAATCTTTCATAAAAATATGTTGTTATCAGATATCTCACTTTTCTACCATACAAGTGCAGAGATTGGACAACCACTTAATAATAATAATGATAATAATAATAATAGTAAAGTTGAAAAGTACCTTGGAGGTCATCTAGCTCAACCCCCTGCTCAGGCAGGAAACCCTATACCATTTCGGACAAATGGCTGTCCAGTCTCTTCTTAAAAACTTCCAGTGTTGGAGCATTTACCGCTTCTGGAGGCAGGTTGTTCCACTGGTTAATTGTTCTAACTGTCAGGAAGTTTCTCCTTAGTTCTAGGTTGCTTCTCCCCTTGATTAATTTCCATCTGTTGCTTCTTTTCCTGCCTTCAGGGGCTTTTGAGAATAGGTTGACTCCCTCTTCTTTGTGGCAGTCCCTGAGATATTGGAACACTGCTATCATGTCCCCCCCTCATCCCTCTCTTCATTAAACTAGACATACCCAATTCCAGCAACCATTCTTTATATGTTTTAGCCTCCAGTCCCCTGATCATTTTTGTTGCTCTTCTTGCACTCTTTCTAGAATCTCAACATCTTTTTTACATCGTGGTGACCAAAACTGGATGCAGTATTCCAAGTGTGGCCTTACCAAGGCATTGTAAAGTGATACGTGATCTTGATTCTATCCCTCTGTTAATGCAGCCTAGCACTGTGTTGGCTTTTTTGGCAGCTGCAGCACACTGCTGGCTTATATCTAAGTGATTGTCCACTAGGACTCTGAGAGCCCTCTCGCAGTTACTACTGTTGAGCAAGCTACCCCCTATACTATACCTGTACATTTGGTTTTTCTTGCCTAAATGTAGAACCTTACTTTTTTCACCATTGAATTTCATTTTGTTAGATAGCGCCCAGTGTTCAAGTCTGTCCAGATCCTCCTGTATCCTAAGCCTGTTTACTGGAGTGTTGGCTATTCCTTATCTGGAATGGTATAAGATTTCCTGCTTGAGCAGGGCATTGGACAGTAAGACTTCTATGGTTTCTTCCAACTCTGTTATTCTGTTATTTTTTAGGATAGTCCCTCAATAGAAAATATAAGCAGAGTCATGTTTATTTTGGTAAACTTTAGTTTGGTAGATGGTCATTCTGATACTTTAGGCAGTATCTATCTGCTTACTGATTGATCGAGTTTTAAGCTGATCTTCCTCTAACAGCAAAGTTCAATTACTATTTTTTTACAAACAAACAAATAATAAAATCTTCAATTGCTGAATGTGATGGCTCAGTGGTTAACTTCACTGAGATAGTCAGCTGGCAGACTGGGTTGAGACCCAAGTACAACCCAACAGAATAAGCATTCATTCCTGCCGCAGCTCCTGCCTATCTAGCAGTTTGAAAGCATGTAATGTTTTGTGTGCCTGTGGCATATAACCATGCTGGCCACATGACCACAGAAAATGTCTTTTGACAGCACTGGTTCCCTTGGCTAAGAAACAGAAATGAGTACCATGCCCTTCTAGAGTCAGACAGGGACAGGGAAACATTTAACTGTTACTTTTAATATAGATTAGATTTGTTTTCCTTTGTCCTACAATATTTCTTTTTTTTACTTTTCAGTTCAGTCTTGCCTAGTGCCAGCAAAACAGTTAAATTTACATTTCAGTTCAGTTCATTGAGAAAAAAACTGGAAGAGTAATTAATTGTCTGAGCAGTTTTGCAAAATATAAATCTGAGAAAAAAGTAAAAATGTTCTTTCCTACTTCTTTGGAGGGAGAGGAGGGGTAGGGGAAACAATTACAGTAAGTCTGAATATCATTGCAGCCAGGTCAGAATCTTAAAATTAATGTCCTAGTACTTCTTATTAAGACTTATTCTGCTATTTGCAGAAAAGGAATTAGAAGAATTGCATGAACTATCCAAACTAAAGGAACAGTTACTGGAATCACTGGAATCTAATCAGAAAGAGCTACAAGAAATTCAAGAACTTGCAGCTGCCCAACCTGGCAGTGTCAATGGTCTGTATGCTGTGGTTTTTTTAAATATTTAAATACCAATATATATTTGGAAAGCTGACCTTCTCAGTACATCAGAGTTAAAATCTTGTAATAAAGTAGATTACATTCCTGAGAATACAGGCAAAACCCCCATCCTGTCAAAACTATTTAATAATGTTAATATCCATTCTGTAGTATAGGAAATGCTCTCTTTAATCTTGTGAATGGGGAAGATGTGAATTTATTACTATTTGGAAGTGACATCAAAAATTCTAGACACATACTAATAATTGAGACGTCAAAATTTAGATAATATTAAAGATGAATATGTGGAACATATTGTAACTATTTTTATGTTAAGTAATATTTTATTATGGATTTTTATAGAGCATATGTTACAGGAATTAACTGAGCAAAGAAGACAATTGACCATAGATCTGGAGGCAACACTAGATGGCATACAAGATATATGTCATCGACCTGCAGAAAGAAGTACATTTATACAACCTTCTGGTAGGTAGAGAAGTAAAAGAGTAAGAAATATTCAAGCATTTCTGCTCCCTAGGTGGCCTTAGATACTCAAACATGTTCATTTTAAGTGCATTTCTCATATTCACAGTAAGCATAATCAAGGAGTTTTCTTCGTTTTTGCAAGCAATTAAAAAGTGGGGAATAAAAAATAAACTTTAAATTATATTAAGAAAATTTCTGTTTGCAGAAAAGGAATTGTATGATTTACACAAACTATCTAAAAAGAAGGGACAGTTACTTGAAATGTTGGAATCTAATTGGAGAGAGAGAGAAGAAGTTCAGGAACTTGCAGCTATTCAACCAAGCGATATCACTGGTATTTGAGCTGCTGTTTCTTACACTTGAATATTTATCTATAAAATCATGTTTAATCAAAGATGGGTTTAATGTATAAGAAAACTTGTTCAATTGTAAAATAGCTGATTTTACATTCAACTGATGTTATAGAAATCAGAGGAGCTTGGATCAGAGAATTTTTAATCTGAATTCTAATCTGAACTTTGCAGCTTTATTTCTGTTATATGTATTATTTTAAGGAGAGAGGTGCATAGGAACACATATTTAGTTTTGCTGGCATTCTCAGCATAGCAGCATTATGATCGCATAATCAAGATGGATTATAATCCTGATATGGGCAGAAGCAATATCCTCCCAACCCCCTTTTAAATTTTAATATTCATTCTGGGATGTATGAAATGTTGCATAATTTAATCACTTAATGATTGGGTAGAAATTTTGGGGAGACAGGATTCATTCCACTTGGGAAATGATACCAGAAATATTAATATAAGCTAACAAGTATGTTTTTGAAATCTAAATAATAATAATGATCTTAATTATTTTTATACATATACTTAATATTTTATTATTGATTTTTTTAGCAAATAAGCTGCAGGAGTTAACTGAGCAAAGAAAAAAGGTGACCACAGAACTGAAAGCAACTCTAGATGGTATACAAAATATATGTCGTCAGACTTCAGAAACTAGTACATTTATACTACCTTCTGGTAAATAAAAAATAAAAAATATTACTAGGAATTTTAGAAAAATATGCAATAATTATATATATTGTTTTCATATTTTAAATCTAGTAATCAATGGAATTAGTGAGCTATAAGAGTGAGAACAGTTGGAGTTCTCTCCGTTCCATCTTCCTAATCAAATACATTTGACAATTCCAGGGTATATGCATTATCATTTTTTAAATTTTCATATTCACCGCCATTTATATTTATGAGTATTTTAACAGAACTTGTGTCAGTACTGGACCCCATGGAAGCCTCTTTGATTTTTAGTATAATAAACTATTTAATCTTACAGACCATTTATTTCATTACGGTCATTCTTTCTGATACCATTTATATAGCCTGACAGCATAATAATAATAATAATAATAATAATAATAATAATAATAATAATGATGATGATGATGATGATGATGATGATGATGATGATGATGATGATGATGTTGGAAAGGACCTTGGAGGTCACTGAGTCCAACCTCCTGCTCAGGCAAGAAACCCTATACCATTTTGGACAAATGGCTGTCCAGTCTCTTCTTAAGTGTTGGAGCATTCACCACTTCTGGAGGAAGGTTGTTCCACTGGTTAGTTGTTCTAACTGTCAGGAAGTTTCTCCTTAGTTCTAGGTTGCTTCTCTCCTTGATCAGTTTCCACCCGTTGCTTCTTGTCCTGCCTTCAGGCGCCTTGGAGAATAGCTTGACTCCCTCTTTGTGGCAACCCCTGAGATATTGGAACACTGCTATCATGTCCCCCCCTCATCCTTCTCTTTGTTAAACTAGACATACTCAATTCAAGCAACCATTCCTTATATGTTTTAGCCTCCAGTCCCCTAATCATCTTTGTTGCTCTTCTCTGTACTCTTTCTAGAGTCTCAGCATCTTTTTTACAACGTGGTAATGTAAAAAACGCTGTGCAAATAACTAAGAATAATTTACATATGGTTTTATTCATATTTTGAGTTCAAAACTTACCTTAAAATATTTGACTTTTCTGTGCTTTTTAAAGAAGCATAGATATTCATCTTTCTCTTTGGATCAGCTTACTTGCATTATCCAATATAAAAAGATTCCATCTCTGCCCACCTTTACATTTATACTTTCAGTCTCTAATTCTGAAAAAAAAAAAAAATTATGCTTCTGTTATGGGTGTTCCATTCCATAGTTTCCAATAATCAGGGAGAAAATTTTCTGCATATTGTGCATCTTCTGGTGACTTTATAGAGAAAAGTTTCTATATCAACTTGTCTTCTGAAATATTCAGATTAAGTTTCTGTACCCTAAATGTCTTTTAGGTATTCAATTTTGGCACTATTAGAGGTTGTTCCTCCCCCTGTCTCTCTCCTGGTAGCTAACAAAGTGGGAGAGAACCCGTGGCTTAGAGGTTATAACATCTGCCTAACATGCAGATAGCCCAGGTTCGAATCTCAGAAGAGTAAGTTTGGCTGATGAGGGTTAAAGGAACCCGAAATAGCTATACCATTCTCTCTTTATTCTTTGTTAGCAAAACCTAAAAACCTAAAAATGTAAAATGATGTCGCAGTTAGTGACTGCTGCTTGTGGATGGCTCTAGATTGAGCTGATACAGGCAAAAGAAAAGAAAAGAAAGAAGATTTCTTTCTCCCATATCTGGGCTGACAGGGTGTTCATTCAAGGTAAAAATCTCCTCCCCCTGTCTCTCTCCTGGTAGCTAACAAAGTGGGAGAGAACCCGTGGCTTAGAGGTTATAACATCTGCCTAACATGCAGATAGCCCAGGTTCGAATCTCAGAAGAGTAAGTTTGGCTGATGAGGGTTAAAGGAACCCGAAATAGCTATACCATTCTCTCTTTATTCTTTGTTAGCAAAACCTAAAAACCTATATATATATATATATATATATATATATATATATATATATATATATATATATATATATATATATATATATTTAAACAGTGTAAAATTTAAACAGTGTAAAATTTAAACAGTGTAAAAGCAAGCAGCTTAAACATATTACTGGAGGGGTTGCTTATAAAGTTTCTAATTTCAGAAAAGGAGGTACATGAATTGCGTGAACTGTCTGAGAAGAAGAAGCAGTTACTGGAAGCACTAGATTCTAATCAGAAACAGCTACATGAAATTCACGAGCTTGAGGCTACCCAACTAGGCAGCATCATTGGTATGTTTGTTGTGATCTCTTAAATACAAATGAAGCTTGAATTAAAAAGTAATGCTTCCAATATTAGAAGTCACCACTTGATGGCAGTATTATATACTTTGATGTATTCTTTAGTGCCTGCTCTTTCTATTGCTAAGAATGGCTGTCAGAAAGAGTTGAATTGCTACTTACAAACAAATGTCTACAGTGCTGTGACTCAATTTTTGACTGCTGAAGAATTCATCATTATGAGCCAGAAACAATGTATCTATTAGTCCATGGAATATTGTCACAAAGTTTCATTGCTTTTTAAAGAAAAAATGAAAACCAGGTTTTAGCAAGAAAACTCAGTTATGTTCTTTGGGACACAAATGATGTTGGGTCCTCTTTCTTTTGATCTGGGAGAAAATGTGGGCAAATAAGATGTGAGGTATCTTATTTGCTTTAGGAAAGAGGTCCATTTATATCCCAACAACAACAGTAGAGTTTGTTGTTGGGGGTAGCTAGCAAATAGATTGTAATCTAGTCAATTTTTTAATATGATTTCTGAGTCCTTTTTAAAGCATGTTGATGTGTGTGTATATGCTTCTTCTGTGTCATTGTGACTGGATATAATATTTTAACTGTTGTTGATGTTCCTTTTTGTTGTGGGGTATGATTCCGTGATTGTCCCTTGAGGAGGTAGGGAAGTATGATATGGGTGTTTTGTTTTTTTAATTTGTTTTTAGTCAGGTGTGGTTCATTGTGTTGTTGGCTTTGTCTTTTGGAGATTGCTTGTTACACTGTATATTTCTGAATGAGAGTCTGGTTTCATGAATGGCAGTGCTGTATTTTATGAATGGAAATATAGTTTCCTTAGGCTAGACTGGCGGTAGTTAGGAAGGCTTCCTTTCTTATTCTTATGGGAGATTTCTTTTCTATTCTTTGGAAGATTATTCTTGATGGAGGGAGAATCTTCTATTCCTGGGGGGGGGGGGGAGATTCCTTTTACACCTGCCCCCTTTCTGCCATATATGTATGTATGTATGTATGTATGTATGTATGTATGTATGTATGTAGTTTATATTGCACAACATATGGTTCATCTGAATAGATCTTGTATTTTTTGTTTATCTGGAAATCTGATTGGGGTTTCAGTTAGGCGGTTTGCGAGGAGAAAAAACCTTATTGAGGCATGAGTGGAAGCGCTGAAAGAGGCAACAAAAAAGGATCCCTATGGCAATTATGGAGATAGCTCCTAGGAAAAAGGCTTTTAGCCAGTGAAAGTCAGATAAACAGCCCTTTTTTGTATCTGCTGTTTTTCACTAATTCTTTGAAATCCTTAATATTGTCTTCTATGAACTGGGAGTTTTTGGACAAGGTAAAGTAACACATATCTCAAAACTCCTCACAATTGTGGTTGTGTCTTAGCACTAAATAATCAAAGATGCTTTGTGAACTTGTCTAAGCTCCCAATATAGCGCTTCTAGGGCTTGGGACATTGTATTAAGACTTTTAGCTAATGCACAGGTGAGGCGGTTAATATTTTTTGAATTATGAACAGCTAGCTCAGGGGCAACTATGAGGGAAACAGCAAGTGCGATATATTTCACCTGGTTAAATAAGGCTGTTTGTGAGTCGCAGTCTGGCATTAGGAGTTGGTTGCTTCCTGAGGGAGGACAAGAGGATGGTTAATTGCCTGAGGACACAAGGTCCCCCTGTGGAGTTATCTGGGGTGTACCAGTATGTTTGCAGCAAAACCCATCCAGAGGAAGTTTTATGTGAATGAAGGTGAAGAGAATATCTTCAGTGTGGTTGCACTTAAGATCAGGGCTGCATTTGACAGGTTGTGGCAGGTGGGCTCCTTGAGGGAGGATCATTTTCCATTGTGAACATTGTTTTATCTTTGTTTCTATGCTGGGTCTTCAATTGAAAATAGTGAGTATGTGGTGGTGAAGTGGAAGTTTTTGAACATAGTGTAGTTCTGCATGGTGTGTAGATGTCTGGCAATTCCTATGAGGCAGGTTGTCAAGATGTCCTTAATGGATTTTCCTCTCACGAGACAAAAATCAATTGTTTTCAGAATTTGTCGAGCTAAGTATTCCTAGACATTTTCCTATTTGGGAGTAGATGTCTGTCTATAAGTCTGTCTATTGGACTAATTACAGAGTAAAGGAGTAAAAGGTTCAAGAAGAGTTTTAACCCTCCCCCCATTTGTCCATTCTCCATTATTCTCATGGGTCTTGAAGAGAGTCTTTAGTTCCCACTCGTCAGTTTCTGAGTTTGAGTTTGATGGGCGGGACCTTTGTTGTCAGGTTCTGTTTGATGCTGGGGTTGGTTGCTTCCAGTTTTAGGTGGGACCAGTTGATTCAAAAGACTTTCCCCCCAATCTTTACAGATGTCTGGTTAACAAGACTTGGAAGGGCCCATTCCATTTATGTTGCAGTTTAGATTTCCATGTGAAAGATCAAATCCACACGCAGTTTCCTGGCTCAAATGAGTGGAGGGCTTCTTCCAGGGGCAGTGTCTGCATTAATGTGCTCTGCTTCCACAGCCCTCGAAGATGTCTGTCTAGATGGGAAACCTCAGACAAAACCACGTTTTCTCCTTCTAAGCTAAAGGAAAGTGGATCTAAGCCTTTCAAAGTATCTGGGGGTCTCCTGAAAAGTGATTCAAAGCAAGAAATGCCTATATCCTGTCAGGGTCCGATTCTCAGGTGTAAAAGGGCAGTGGGTAAAACTTGGGGCCACAATAAATGTTTCCTGTCAGAGTTAGCCTAACAGGGTCCTTATAACTTTCCTATTTCATTTATTAAAACATTCTTACTTTAAATAAAATTATGGAAGTGGAGACATTACTTGTAACTAAACACGTGCATATTTAGAATTGGATAGTTAAACAGGTGCTTGGGATGAAAATATTTTATTGCCATTAGTTTCTCCAGCACTGGAGATGGATAATCCACCAATGGGTTTACACTGTATTCCTGCCCAATCACATCAAGTCAGCCATAGTTGCCACGCCCGTCCTGGACCATAGAGATCCCAGTCTTGACTTGATCTTGCCCAGGACAGACGTGCAGGTTTGGCTCTTAGACATCCATCTGGGTCATCAGTTTCTGAGGATTCTTACCTCAACCAACCTGCCACAGAGCAGGAGGTTCAAACGTCTGAAGAGGAAGAAAATCCTCCAGAGGCTCCTTCATTCAGCGGCCTCTTTAACCCTTCTTTCTTTGTCACCTTGCTACATAAGGCCACATCCACCGCCCATCTTGGGCCGGGATCTTCATCAACAACGACTCCCGTTCCCCCAGACTCAAAGGTAGACCCGAACTTAGTCGAGCCAGTCGTGGCTCAACACTGCATCCCCTGCCCTTCTTTATTCCTGAATGCGATCCAGAAACAATGGGCTTCTCCTGCTTTTCTTCCCCTCCCAGGTAACACTGACAAAAGGCTGTACAATGTGGCCAGGGTCTGGAGGAGGCTCTGGAGATACCGGGTGTGGACGAGCCCTTAGGGTCCCTAGTATCGGCCACCGCAATCTCCGGGGATTTTTCAGAAGCCCTTAAGGCTGAGGACTGCAAGTGCGAGTCCACTTACCGCAGAACACACCAAGCGGCCGCATGGGCGATCAGGGCCGCAACCTCCGCCTCATTTTTCAATAGGGCCGCACTCTGCTGGATCCGGTAACTTCAAGCCCGGATTCCAGCAGAGGATATCCGCACACACCAGGACCTTAGTAAGATGGTGGCGGCCACTGAGTATGCATCAGATGCAACCCTCCAGGCCGCCAGGTTTTCGTCCAGAGCTATGGCGTCCAGTATCACTGGTTGCTGGATGCTTTGGTTGAAACATTGGCAAACCGATGCTAAGTCTAAGTGGAAGCTGATGGCTGCTCCATATCAGGGAGGTAAGTTATTTGGGGACGAGCTAAATCCCTACTTATCTGAGAACAAGGACAAACGCAGGGTCCTTAATCGTCTACTCAAAAGATCGGACAAACGCTCCAGTTATTATCCAAGGAGGCAGTCCTTTCGTGCTGGAGCTAGATACAGTTACACTCAGCCCTTCCAACCTTTTCAGGCCAGACAAGATAGGCAGGAGAGACAGGCTGATAGGCAAGCTCCTAGATCCAGGTAACAATTGCAGGGCAAGCAGCCCTTTCAAGGGAACAGCAGGCCATTCCGATGCTCCAGGTGACTCCCCATCAGTACCTCCCATAGGGGGCAGACTATCTCTATTTGCCCACCAGTGGGAGGCCACCACCACAGACGTGTGGGTACTCAACACCGTCCATCACAGTCTTTCCCTGGAATTTGTCTCAACCCACCAAATCGGTTCCTCTCTTGCCCATATCCCTGAAACCGAACAAAGAAAAGGCTGATACTGAAGCCATTCAACATTTATTGCACATACGAGCCATAGAACCGGTACCACTGGACCAGAGAGGTCAGGGATTTTACTCCATCCTCTTCGTTGTTCCCAAGGCGTCCGGGGGATGGAGAGCCATTCTAGATCTCAAAGGCTTGAATTTTCATCTTGCATACCACAAATTCAAGATGCAAACGCTCTGCTCCATCTTGGGAAGCGTAAGAAAAGGGGACTTCCTGACGTCTATCGACCTCACGGAGGCATACTTTCATATCCCTATCTCTCTGGCCCACCGCTGGTTTCTACGGTTTGCATACAAGGGATGCCACTTCCAGTACAGAGCGCTCCCATTTGGCCTATCATCAGCTCCCAGGGTGTTTACCAAGATCCTGGTGGTTCTGGCAGCTCATTTAAGGATGATACCAGTCAGAGTCCAATGCTATCTGGACGACATATTAATCCAGTCATCGTCTACCCGGTCCGCCGTGTCGGAACTCGAATGGGTGGTAAAGCTGCTCCAGGACCACAGGTTCTCGGTAAACTTTCCCAAGAGCCACTTGGTCCCCACAACAAGGCTATTACACCTCGGGGCCATCATAGACATAGTGGAGTGCTGGGTGTACCTATCACAAGAACGCCGGGACAGCATAAGGGACTCAGTCCTTCAAATACGCAGGGGTCGGTCAGTAACGTTGGCCAGGCTCTTCCAATTGTTAGGAAGATGATCTCAGCCATAGCAATCGTCCCGTGGTCCAGGCTCCACTCCAGGGAACTACAATGGTTCATGCTCCCCTTCCAGAGGTGGAACCTCAGTGCATCCCAACAAAGGGTAAGACTACCACAACAGGTGTTGCGCTCCCTCATGTGGTGGCTATCGCCAGCCATGCTCAGAGGGTCATACTTCAAGGAGCCGAACCGAATAGTACTCACGACCGACGCCAGCCTGTTCGGCTGGGGAGCACACCTTCAGTCGCAGTGGGCACAGGGCCGTTGGTCCAACTCAGACCTCTGGCACAACATAAATTGGCTCGAACTACGAGCCATCCACCTAGGGCTTCGTCACTTTCACAATCAGGTGACATGCCGCCACATACTGGTCCTTACGGACAATGTGGCAGCCAAGGCTCACATAAACCATCAAGAGGATACCCGCTCTCGGACTCTATTGACCGAGTCTCTCTTAGTGGGATCCTGGGCAGAACACAATCTGGCCTCCATCAAGGCCTATCATATTTCGGGGGAAGCAAACACCCAGGCCAATTTGCTGAGCAGGACAATGGTAGATCACTCGGAATGGCGCCTCCATCCGAGGGTCTTCAAAGAAATTTGTCACCGTTTCGGCCTTCCACTTGTGGACCTCTTCGTGTCCTTGTCCAATGCCCAACTGACTCGCTTCTTTTCCAGGTTCCCATCTGTAGGGGCAGAACAGACAAATGCTCTTTGGAGCCCATGGCCACAGGGTCTGCTTTACGCTTTCCCCCCTCTACCTCTTCTCCCGGCGGTAACACACAAGCTCCTTTGGGGGTGAGCGGAGATACTCCTGGTGGCCCCTTATTGGCCAAGGAGACATTGGTTCACTGATCTGATGAGCCTATCCCTTTCAGATCCTTGGCGGATCCCTCTGGAACGGGTCTCTCTCAGCCAAGGGGTTATTCTTCATTCGGACCCCCATGGCTCCAGTTAGCCGACTGGTACTTGAGCACTCAATCTTAACAGGGGAGCTTTGCTCGCCAGGGGTCATCACAGTAATCCAGGCCTCCCGCCACCCTTCCACAAACTGCATTTACAAGGCCACGTGGAAGAACTTCCGATTATGGTGCTCCGCCCGACAGTTGTCGCTCTTGGAACTCACAATTCCCCATATCTTGGACTACTTGCTAGACGGTCTAGAGAGGGGCTTGGCGCCAAACACATTGCATAGACAGATTGCTGCGCTTTCCACGGTCCTCACATGTGACTCAGCGGGAACATTGGGTCATCACCCCTTAATCCGCTCATTCATTAAAGGGGCCACTAACACCAGACCCCCTACTGTGCAGAGGTACCCTTTGTGGGAGCTACCATGGGTCCTCCGGGCTCTTACTAAGTCACTCTTTGAGCCCCTAAGAATGTGCAACGTTTACTACCTGTCCCACAAGGTGGCATTCTTGGTGGCAATCACCTCAGCACGACGCATCTTCGAATTGGCAGCGCTCTCGATCCGGGATGACTTGTGCGTTTTCCACCGGGATCGAGTGATCCTCCGACTCGACCCTACCTTCGTCCCGAAAGTCAACTCTCTATTCCATAGATCACAGGAGATAGTGCTGCCGGATTTTTGCCCCAACCCATCGCACGCTCTGGAACGGCAATGGCATAGTTTGGATGTCCATAGAGCACTTTGATACTATATTTCACGAACAGCGGAATTCCGCAAATCAGAAGCCCTCTTTATATCTTTCCACTCTTCCTCCAGACGTTGGAAGGTTTCCTTTTCCACAATTGGTAGGTGGATTAGAGCATGCATTGCCGGAGTGTATCAAGTCAAGTCATTGCCGGTTCCAAGACGGGTAACTGCCCACTCCACACAGAGTGCAGCTACTTCAGCGGCCTGGGCTACCCAGGCATCCATTGAGGAAGTCTTTTATTTGGACTGCAAGATTGATAGGTTTGCCTCCGTGGAGTCTTCCTTTAATAGGAGGATTCTCCAATAGGTTATTCATCAAAGTGCCACACCGGACCAGTCTGTTTCCCACCTTCAGGGACAGTAGGCTTTGGTATGTCCCATTGGTGGATTCTCCATCTCCAGTGCTGGAGAAGGGGAGTTGTCTTACCTGAACACTTTTTCTCAGCACGGAAATGGAGAATCCACTCCCACCCTTGTAGGTCATCTAGGCCTAGGGTTAGTTTTTTAGTTTTGAGAGCCACAACGTCTTGCTGTCAGTCAATGACTACGCTCGTGTCAAGACTGGGATTTCTATGGTCCAGGACGGGCGTGGCAACTTTGGCTGACTTGATCTGATTGGGCATACAGTCTAAACCCATTGGTGGATTCTCCATCTCTGTGCTGAGAAAAGGCATTCAGGTAAGACAACGCCCCTTTTCTACTATTATACATTCATTTTATACCAAGTGAAAAACAATTTCAGGAATGCCTGCAAAATGCTCACAGATTAATCTAGAAATCATTAGGTTGCGAAGGACTATTTTCTTCAATCAATGTGCTAATGGTGTGCCCATTCTTAGTTGTAAAGGTAGTTATTTGTGTTTGCTAACCCAAATTTACAGTGCTATAAGCACAGGAAGTATTTGCTTATTGTAATAGAAAATCCTATGTATTACACTTGTGTCAGAAAAATTGTTCAACTGCAAAGAAGTTAAAATAACTTGGCCATATAGAAAGCAGAGCATAGAGAACCAGTATCAGGGAATTTTTTATTTAAGATTAGATTTAAACTCAGCAGCTTAATTTTAATATATGCACTTGTTCAAAAATAATCCTGTGGGAGATCGAGCATAGGAATTTATCCATAATTCTGTTGACTTTCTTGGCACAGCAGCATTATAATCCGATAATCAACATTACATTTCTAAGAATATAGAAAGTGTTTCTATCTTGCCAAAACCATTTCATAATTTTAATATCCATTATGCATTGTATGAAGTGCAGAGGAATTTAACCAATTGTGAAAGGATGAATGTTTTGGGAATATAGGATTTCATTCTATTTTGGAAGTGGCTCCATACATATTAGACAGAAGTTAATCATTAAAAATTATTAATCTAGATAATATTAATGATTATGTTTATGAACTTAATTATGTTTATGTACAATAAATATGATTTTTTGTAGAGCATAAGCTGCAAGAATTGACTGAGCAAAAAAGATATTTGACTACAGATTTGGAGGCAACCCTAGATAATATACAAAATGTATGTCGTCATAGTTCAGAAAGAATTACATTTATACAACCTTCTGGTAAGTAGGAAAAAATTATTAAAGATTTAAGAAAACGTGACACTGATTATGCATAATGTTTTAATATCATAAATTTAGGAATTGGTATGATTGGTGAGATTATCAGAAAGAAAGAGACAATTGGACTCCTTTCCATCCTGTCTAGATTTAAATCCATTTGAGAATTCCAATGTATTTGTATTAATTTTAAATTCATCATAATTTATATGTACCATATTTTCCAGTGTATATGATGACTCGGCGTATAAGGTGACCCCTGACTTCGAAGACGATTTGCATGCTTAGAAAGTCGTCTTATACACCGGAAACTACTGTATTTTCCGGCGTATAAGACGACTCAGCCTATAAGACAACCCCCGGCTTCGGAGACGATTTGCATGCTTAGAAAGTCGTTTTATATGCCGGAAAATACGGGTATTAGTATGTTAAATGTGTTTTAGTCAATCAGTACTGGACACAGAAACCCAAAGAATCCAGTTTTTATAATTATGAAACCCTTTATGTAACCAAACATTTTTGGTAGTGGTCACTCTTTCTGGTCCTGCTTGCTGCAGATTTATTATAGGAATGAGGGTTACTGTAATAACACTTCAGCTCTGATGAAATACTGCACGTGCTATTATGAATAATATTGATTTGGTTTCATTTATATTATGGATTCAAAAAATTTCTCAAAAAAAACTTAATTATGCTATGCTTTGTAAATAGACTTAGACTTTCAGATTTCTGTTTGGGTCAATTTTGTGTATATTACTGAATTTGTTCTTTTTTTTATTGAAAATTTTTAAAAGTTTTTACAAATAACAACAAAAAGACAACAACAAACAAGAAAAACAAAACAAAACAACCCTCACCCAACCCCTCCCAAACCACCCCCTCCATCCCCCCCCCCGAGCTTCCCAGAGTTGAATATAGGCTTAATTAAAATTTTAAGAAACCTAAACAAATTTTTACAACTTATAAAATAGTTAATAATAAAATATATATGACATAAACGTTAAGGAAAAAAAATACTTAAAAAGAGAAAAAAAGAAAAAAGAAAGAAAGAGAAAAAGAAATAGGAAAAAGAAAAAAAAGAGAAAACAATCTATAAAATATCAAAAATTATATACAAGTTACAAAAAGGCTAAATAATATTTTTTTATATCCAATTTATGTTGTATAAAATTTATCCATTTTTCCCATACAGCAAGAAATTTCTCTTGCGATTGCCCCTTTAAAAAAGTCGAAATCTTTGCCATTTCTGCCAGATAAGAAACTTTAAAAAACCACTCTTGCAAGGTAGGCAAAGATTCCTTCTTCCAATATTGCCCTACTAACAGCCTTGCGGCTGTAATCAAATTTAACATTAATATAACCTCCTTAGCATCACAATCAGTAACAATACCTAACAAAAATAATTGCGGAGTAAATTTTACCCTCCTTCTAAAAATTCTTTGAATATTCCACCATATCTTAATCCAAAAAGCTTTTATATTTTTACACGACCACCAGATATGATAATAAGTGGCGTCCAAACAGCCACATCTCCAACACTTAGGCTGTAAGTCAGGGTACATAAGAGACATTTTTTGTGGATCAAGGTGCCATCTATAAAACATCTTATAAAAATTCTCCCTTAAGTTCTGGGCTTGTGTAAATTTAACATTTCTCACCCAGATAATTTCCCAGGTATCCAGTGGGATTGGCTCACCAAAATTTTGTGCCCATTTAATCATACAGTCTTTAATTAATTCAGATTCTGAATCCAATTCCACTACAACCCCATAAACCCTCTTAATGTGAGTTTGTTTTTGATCCTTTACTTGTTTAAAAAGATTTTCATCTTCTCTAAGCCAGCCCACATTACAATCCATCTTCCATCTGTCCACTATTTGTCTGTATTGAAACCATGAATAGGTAATATTTTCATGTGCTAAGTCTTCCAAAGATTTTAACTGCCAGCTCTGACCATCCCATTTAAGTAATTGTGTATAAGAAACCCTATCCATTTTAACTCCTCTCTTTATCCCCTCTATCGCATGCCAAGGTATGGCCCATAAGGGTATTTTAAAATCACTCTTATAATACTTCCTCCAAACCCTAAGTAAAGAAATCCTTATAATATGTGATTACAAAAATAACTTCATCTTTAACAAACAAGCCTCATGAAGAATTTAATCTAGAAACTACTTTTATGTATAATTCCACAAATGGACTTGTACAACATCCTAAATTTGGATTTTCCTTAATACAAGGATTTAAAATATTAGATTTTTGCCTGATTCATTATAAGAGTAAATTTAGACAGAAACTCCTATTGCTTATTGTAATTGAGGGTTTTTATCATGTAAGTTGTCTTTGCTAAGTATTATTGATCTTCCTTTAAAAATAATTAAATGATTATATAGCAACATTATCTTATATATAGTACTAATCTAATGATTGAAAAATCTTGCTGTTTTGGACCGCTTGTAAATCTTAACATTCTTTTATTTTTTGCTTGGTTGCACTTTTAATTATGTGCTAAAATAAAATAAAAATGCACAAAAAATACAGAGTTCAGGTTATCCACAGAAATGTACTTCCAAAGGGAATAGATTTTCGTGTTTTGGGATAGAGTTTTAAGAAGCAAAATACTCCCTTAACTGGTGCTTCTGTAAACCAATTGTGTTACTTCAAAAAACAAAATAGCCATCTTTCCATTCTGATAACATCATGTTGTGACAACCCTTAGCCTCTATGTTTGCATATAACACACAAAGACATGATTGATTATGGATACAAAATGCTTGTAGAGCATTTTGAGATCTACTTTTCAAGATAATTCTGTTAAGAAACAGCAGTATGATTGTAAAAGAAATTGTTAAAAACAAATGGCTTGTATCCAAATATGTTACTTAAAGAACTAAAAGAGTATTATTGAAAGCCAAACCTGTTATTGAGTCAGAATTTTTCATTTTAAAGTTCAAAAAATTGAAACATTTGAATACTATAAATTATAAGCAAAGCAAGTGTTCTCAGATTCATAAAAACTTGTAGTTTCTATGGCAAAAACAATTCTGTGACTTTTAACAAGAATTTAATGTTTTCCATTTGCAGTGGGTTGCTTTGCATCCCATAATAGTCATTTAGTTTTCCCTTTGGACAATTTAATTCCATCTATTCAAAACATCAATGAAAAAACGCTAGTAAAAATAAAAGCTCGATCCACTTTTTTATTAAAAATTAAGTAGGCATGCCATCCAAAAAGTAAATCCCAACCCTCCAGATGGAGTATGTCTACATTTGTTAAATTTACCCAATCACTAATCAATGTTAAAACCACAGCATCATAGCATAATTTCAAATTCGGTACCTTGAGTCCACCTCTCTCACGGAAATCTTGCATAATTTTAAGCTTTACCCTTGGTTTCTTCCCTGCCCTAATAAATTTATTAATGCCTTTCTGCCATTCATTTAAGTTAAGCTCATTCTTTAAAATAGGTAGCATTTGAAACAAAAAAAGAAATTTTGGTAGGACACTCATTTTAATCACTGCAATTCTACCCATAAGAGATAACTGTAACTTATCCCAATTCTTCAGATCCTTCTGTACCCTGATCCACAACTTTTCATAATTATTCTTATACAATTTTGCATTAGAAACAGATAAATTGACCCCCAAATATTTTACCTTATGAACAACTTCAAAATCTGTTAAATTAACCAAAATCTGTTTATCACGGTTAATCATATTTTTAGGTAATATTTTGGTCTTATTATTATTAATTTTAAAACCCGAGACACATCCATATTGATGAATCAGTTGTAATAACTTTACTACAGAGTAAGTAGGTTGAGACGAGTAACCACCAAATCATCTGCAAAAGCTCTTAACTTATATTCTTTTTTGTTAACTTCTATTCCTTTTATTTCTTGTGACTCCCGAATTTTGGTCAACAAAATTTTCCAGTGTTAGAACAAACAATAACGGTGATAATGGACATCCCTGTCTTGTACCTTTTTCTATTGTAAAAACCTCTGACAAACCCCATTAACAATAAGTTGAGCAGTTTGTTTTTGATATATAGCACCTAGAGCTTGTGATATTTTTTCTCCAAAATTCATCTCCTTAATTAATCTTAACATAAACTGCCAATTCAGTTGGTCAAAGGTTTTTTCAGCGTCTAAAAATATCAGCCCTGCAGAGATTTGGTTGTTTATAATCCACATTTAAGAGAGATATAGGCCTATAATTCTTTGGTAAGGTAAGATCTTGATCCTCTTTTGGAATCAAAGATATAAAAGCACTGCGCCATGACGGAGGAATCTCTAAACCCTGTAATATATTATTAAAAAGCTCGCATAAAGGTTGAGTCATCTCTTCTACTAAGGTTTTATAATAAATAGATGTCAAGCCATCCGTACCCGGCGCTTTACCTAATTTTAATTGCTTAATAGATGTTACAATTTCCTCATTAGTAATTAAACCATTAATTTCTTGTTTCTGATCTTCTGTTAGTTTAGGAAAATTAGCCTTACTTAAATAATTATTTATATCTAAAGTTTGTACATTGGTGCTCTTATATAATTTCTGATAATAATCCAAGAAAAATTTCTTAATCAGCTCTTTCTGGTAAACCAATTTACCATTATAATTTATTTTATCTATAATTCTCTGTCTCTGTTTCTTTCTTAATTGATAGGCCAACCATCTCCCTGGTTTATTAGCATTACAAAATGTGTTTTGCTTCATAAACATTAAGTTAGTTGTGGCTTGGTCAGCCATCAACATATTAAATTGTGTTTTTAACAACTTTATAGCTTCTTTAACCTTTTCATCTGAAGGGTTTGAAATCAAAGACTTCTCTTTTAATTTAATCTCCTCCTCCAATTCTTTACGTTTCTGAATCTGCTTTTGTCTATGAACATTATTCATTTTTATCAAAATCCCACGCATAAAAGCTTTACCTGCATCCCATACCATTGACATTGATGTTCCCTTATACATATTTAAAGCAAAATAGTCCTTTAAACAT